TTAAATTAACTTAATATTTTTTATTGAATTAGTAACAATTGTCGTAATAAATTCTACGAAGATAAAGTTCCATGGTTTTAATAAATATTTTTAAAAAAAAAAAGAATAAGTAAAAAAATATATAAAAATAATAAAAAAGTTTTGAAAGCTCTATATAATTGTATCTAAATATAAACTATTCTAAAAAATTTTTAAGTAAAAACAGAATATAACATTTTTTTTTGCATTTCTAAATAATTCTTTATATTATTCTTTTTTAATTTAAAAAAAAAAAATTAAATAAAAAAATGAAATGAAATATTTATTTTGTAAGTATATAAAATCAACTAAAAATTTATTATTTTTTGATTATTTAAACAATATTTCTATTATTAAAAACATAATAAAAAATATATAATAAATAAGAGGTTATAGTATATAATTAATAATTTTAGGATTTAGGATGTAGGATTTAGAATTTAGAATTTAAAATTTTTATGTTGTAGTTATAGATTTAGCTTTTAATAGATATTTCTCCATTAAAATTAAAAAAAAAAAATTTCAAAACTAATTTTTTTTTTAAACATCATATTGTTATAAGTATTTATTTGTTATTTTTTAAATTATATTTTCATATTTTTTGTTTTTAACTTATATTATCCTTACTGAAAAAAGGGGAATTATTTTAAAAATCATTAAAAAAAATATTAGAAATAATTCCTCAGTAATTTTTTTTTACATTTTTAGAGATACAAAAAATGGATCTTAAACTTAGTGATGCTACGAGTATTGATTCTAATGATAATCTAAATGGGGGAAATTCAACTGTAGAATTCGCTCATAGGGAAATTGAAGGTGCAACTGTTTCAATTCCAGAAAATCCATTATATGATGATTTAGATTTACGTGATGCCATTCAAAATCCATCTGAAGATATCAATTTGGATTCAACTTCATCAACGAATCTTCATCATAAAAACTTGTTAAGTATTTTTCATTTAGTTATGATTATTATTTCTTTCCTTCGTTTTGCGGTAAAATAAAGTTTATAATTAAAAATATATGCATATTTTTTCATTTTTTTTATGTATTCATTTAATTACAAACATTATATATATTATAAAAACAAAATTTTAAATCATTTGTAATAATTTATAGAGAACTTACTCTCCTAAATTGAGAGCTAAGCATAAAGAGAGGGTTAGGTTGCAGAATAAATGGGATAATAGGGATAAAAAGATGAAAGGTGATTGGAAAAAGATGGAGGAAAAATGGAATGAAAGGAAACAAAAAGAAAATAGAGAAAAGGAAGAGTTAAATAAAAAAAAAGAGGAAAGGGAAAAAAAGACGAATAATGAGATGGAACAATTTAATAGGAAATGGGATGGAGAAAATTATTCTGAAGAGAAATCCTGGAAATTTTTGAATTATTCGTGCATAAATGGAAAATGTATTAAGTCTTTGAATGAACCAAGTACAAGCCAGACATGTAATAAAATTGTTAAAAGAAAGAAAAAAAATAAGGTACTTTTGGATATTATAGAAGAAAAATTGAAAGGAATATCCTTCAAAAAACCAATATCAGAACATGAACTTATAAAAAAGATTACAGAAGAAGAAAAAAAGAGAAGAGAAACGCTCTTTCGTCAAGTGGTTGAATTAAATGAGAAATGGAAAAAATATGAAGAATATTGTCAAATTAGGAGGGAATGGGAAAGAAATGAAAGAAAAAAATTAGAAGAAAAAAGAAGAAAAAGAAAGGGAAAACACGAAAATGAAATGTTAAAAGAAAAAGTAGAGTGGGAAAAGAGTATGAGAGAAGAAAAAGAAAAGTGGGAAAAGATCATGAAAGAAGAAAATGAAAAATGGGAAAAAAACATGAGAAAAGAAAAAGAGAAATGGCAAAATAGAATGATGGAAAAAAATGAAGAGTGGAAAAAAGATGAAAATAAGAAAATTAAAAAAGAAGAAAGTGAGTTGAATTCAAAGTGGAGATATGAGCATTATAAGATAAAAGAAAAAGAAGGTAAAAAAATAAGAAAAATATAAATACATATATAAATATTAATAGGAAAAAGCATTTATATAAGGTAATTATAAATTTTTTTTTTTGAAAATGTAGTATCTTATTTACTTTTAAATGTTTACAGAAGAAGCTCGTTAAACTAAATTTTATATAATTTAACATTTTTATTTTATTTAACTTTTTATTCTCTACTTTTTTTATTTAATATTAAATAAATATTGTAGACACAATCTTTTCATATTTATATATTTCTGCTTTTTTTAAAGATGAGGAAAAACATAACCCAAAATGAAATATTCCTTAGTTTTCTTTCTAAAATTTGTCATGTATTTTACATGTATGTATTTTATTTTTTATAAATTAATCTTATGTATAGATGAAATGAAAAATTTACTTGTAGATAATTTTCAAAATATTTGCTTTTTGTTAACCTATTACGAAGATGTCTCTATTATAATTTAAATGAAACTTTATTTCATTCTTATCAATTTTTATATCAGAAAGATAATTTATTATCCATTTGCATATTTTATAACTTACGTATCTGTTAAATATATAAAAAATATAATATTTTATTATATAAATACCATAAAATCTATTAAAATAACCAAAAAAAAAAAAAGAAATAAAATAATATAGTTTTTCAAAAAAGAGGATATATAATATATATATTACTTGAATTTTAACTTCATATTTTAAAAGAAACATTAAAATAAGAAAAAAAAAAAATTTTAAACATAATGCGTTATATAATATTTTTCTTATTGTAATTTTATTTTTAAATTCCATTTATATTTATAAAAATTATTACATTTATTTTTAAAAGCATCATTTAATTGTTTAATTTTTATATTTCATGAACTGATTTATTAACTGGGTGTTCGGCTAGTTTACTAGAATACTGAACAAACAAATTAATAGAGAGCATATAGAGTTGCCTCTACGATTTTGGTGTATTTATATATACTTTTATATGCTTTGAACGAGTGATTCTTAATTATGTGATATACTTCGTTCAGCATTCTTTGATTTCAATAGACATTTATTTACCTTAATAAAAATCCTTATTTTTATTAAAAATTTAAATCCTTATTGAATATTCACTAATAATTAAATGTATATTCCTTTTTTTTTGCTATGAGTTATGTTCAGCAATTTAAATATATTTCTGTTGAATTAACAAACATAAACAATTAGTAAAAATGCAAATTAATTATATGAATATTAATTACGTGAAAATTTTATTGTTATATGTATAAAATTTTCTCTCACAAATTAAAAATATAAATATTATGCAAATTAAACTCTTTTATATGTAAATGTTTTTATCTGTTTAAGGTCTCATTTTTATTGGTACTAAATCCTACTCCCTATTTTTATTTTACCAATTTTCTCTCTCCTAAATTAAATCATTTAAAAAAAATAAATATATTTTATTTTTAGGTATCTAAATTTATTAAAAGAAAAATATAAAAAAATTCAATAACATTTTTTTTTTTTTTTTATTTTTTTTCCGCGTGTGCATAAATAATTTATTAACTGTGTGTTCGGGGACTTTACTGTAGTACTGAACAAACCAATTAATAAAGAGCATGTAGAGATGTGTCTACGATTTTTGTATATTTATATATATTTTTATTTGCTTTGAACGAGTGATCTTTAATTATAATCTACTTGGTTCAGCATTCTTTTATTTCAAGAAGTATTTATTTACTTTGATAAAAATCCTTATTTTTATTAAAAATTTAAATACTTACTGAATATTGACTAATAATTAAATGTAACTTAATTATTTCTTTGTTGTGAGTTATATTCAGCAATTTACATATATTCCTGTTGAATTAGCAAACATAAGCAATTATTAATAATGCAAATTAATTATATGAATATTAATTACGTGAAAATTGTATTGTCATATGTATAAAATTTTCTTTTACAAAATTCATCATAAAAATATTTTATTTAATTCCTCTATTCGCCAAAAAAAAAAAAAAAATCTTTTTTTTTTTTTTTTTTTATTTAAAATTTAGTAACAAATATTTTAAAAAATTGATTTGTTTTAATCAATTTTTTTCCTGACTATTTTTACATTTTTTTTATCAAATTTTTTTTTCCTGACAGACTTTGTACTTTTTAAAAAGTACAAACAAAAAAAAAAATCATCAATATTTTTTATTTTTGTGTGTGTATGCATGATCAACTTCGTATACTTCATTTAACTAGTCCTTTTATTTTCCAAAAAGGTTAATAAAGCCTTTTATTAACCACCCTTTTAATAATCTTCTGAAAGTTATTTATATTTTTATTTTGTTGTATTATTTTAGAAAGCTTTTCATTACTAACACAAGTATTAATACCAAAAATAAAAGAGATACATGTGTCTAGAGAATGTTAATAAAATTATAAATTACATTCTAGGAAATAATCAAAAAGGAAATATGTTTTTATATATAAATTAGGAATCTTATTATGTAGGTGTTCTTCTGCAAATATTAATTTGATAATTAAAAAAAAAAAAAGCTATTACATTATTTATTTTACATTTATAATGACTATCTTTTTCTAAAAATAAAAAAAAAATATATTGAAAAAATTTTTGTAATTCACTGAACAATGAACCTTTTCGTTTTCATTTTATATGATTAATAAAATCTAATTTTTTCCATTTAAGATAAAAATAATAAATCATTGGAATTTTAGAAAAATTAACAAAAATTTTAATTTTAATTATTTCAGTTGTTTACAAAGTATAACAAAAGAAATATTATTGCATGTTAGATTATATATTTGAATAATAAAAGAAAAGGTATATAAATAAAAGGAATATCTTATATTTATATTCATTTTTATATACAATAAGATTTTTAAATGATTAATTGAAAATAGTATTAAAAAAAAGACAAAAAATAAATACAAAAAAATAAATAAAAGATAAAATATTTAGCAGAAGTAATTTGTATAAAAATGAGTTTATCCTTAATATATGAAATATTAGGGGAAAAGAAAAGAAATATTTTTCCTTTTCTTTATTTTACTTATATAATCAATATGGTATGCTTACTTAGGAAGATTTATTTTTTTTTTTTATATATAAATATTTAAAAAAATAATCGCGTAGAAAAAAAATATTATTTCGAATATTTCCTAGTAGTTTGATTCATAAAAGTCATTATTGACCCTTTTAAGAACAAAAGTTAAAAGCTATATGAAAAATACATAATTAGCCATGCAAGAATTAGATAAAAAAGAAAAAAAAATTAGTTAATTTTTTTTATTTCTTTTTATAAGTTATGAATATAAAAAAATATATATATTTTTTTTTTAGAAAAAAAAATTTAAAGAGTGGAGATCTTTGAAAAATAGCTGTTGGCAAAAGCATTTTTTTTAAGAATTAATTTTATTTGATATTTTTTAAGGAAAAGATTACAAAAAATAATAGGATTTTTGTGCTTATTAAATTTACATAAGTTTATGTTTTAATAATTACCCATGTTTGGTAATTGAAAAGAAGTGTACTCGAATTGCTAAATGTTATTCGTAGTAATATAAATAAAACAAAAAATGCTTAGACAATAAGAAAATTATAAAAATAAATTATATTTTTATCATTCTTTTAAATATATTGTTTTTGAAAAATATTCTATTAAAATTCAAATATATATATATATATATAAATGTTTTCTGAAAATATTGAAAAATCGACTGATAAAAGATATTATTAACCTATTATGAAACAATAAATAATAAATTATATGGTAAATAATATATTATCTAATAACGTTAATTTTTTAAGGAAATAGCTAACTTTAATAAAAAAATAGAATTCTTTTTTCTTTGTATGTAAATTGTTTTGTTGATTATATTTTTGAAATTTTATTTTAAAAAAAAAATATTTTTTTATATTATTTTTGAAAAAAGAATTAATTTTAGTGAATCATATTTATGTTGTAATCACAAAAAATTAGAATTAAAAGCTAAAAGAAAAAAAAGGATTTTGTTTTTGTTTTTATTTACTCTTTATGTGTTTTTTTTAATATTGTTAGTAAATCTAATAAAATATATTATTTTATTTAAAAAAATTATTTCATATGGAATAGAAGATTTTTATAAAAGAAGTATTAGTTTTAATGAAAACGATAAAAAGTTTATTTATTAAATTAATTAAATTTATCTAACAGTGAAAATTTTGTTACATGAATTATATGTATAAAATTTGTCTACGGCAAAAACATGATTGTATAATATTAAAATAGAGACTACTTTATATGCACTTTATCAATTTGTTTGTTTATTCCTTTACCAAATTTAATGAACGACAAAATAATAAATTAACAATAGAAATATAAATTTTTTTTTAAGAAAATATAAAATGAAATAATTAAAAAAATTACTAGTTTATTAAATGAAATGTTAAATACTGCAACAATGAATTAAGAGGTTTAATTTACTTATAGTTTAACACAACCATGCTTGTTTTAATATACAATGTCAACATAATATAAAATATACATTTTAGGCAATATAATAACCTAACATCTTTAACAAAAACATTAACATCATATATTTTTCTTATGATATATCCCTATAATTCGTATATATTGAATTTTTTAACTATAGCAATTTTCTTTTCTTTACAAAAAATACAAAAAAAATATTGATTTTTTTTCAATTTAAAGGGAAGTTTTTAAGTTTAATTATTTCCCGTGCTTTTAATAAGAATAAAAAGAAAATTAATATTTATGAGAAAAAATATATTTTTTATTTTTTTTATAACTATAAACTTGGATAGTTGCTATGATATAATTTATTAAATATCCATTTAATAAACTTTTATATTTATTAAAAATATAAATTAATAAAAAGCATATATAATAATCTTTAATAATTTTAACGATAATAAAAATACTTTTTATAAAAAATTTATAATTTGTTATAATTACATTACATAAAATGAGATAAATAGATTTTATTATATGACTTAACATTCCCATAATAAGATACTTTAACATAATATTTTAATTATTATTAATACAACAATTATTTTATAAGACACTTAAATTATTTAATAAATAATATACTTGTATATATTAAATCTTAAGCATTTAATATAGAAAGAAGTTCTATTTAGTAAAATAATCTTTTTATAATAATAAATAATATTATGTAAAAATCATTTAAAATTTTTATTTATAAGAATTTTTATTTACTAAACTAAAAAAGGAAATATATGCATAAAATAAATAACATTAAAACTAAGAATATTAAAGAAAAACATTTTTTTTTATAAACACAGTTGTCTATTCATTATTTTTATTCTTTTTAAACTAGATATTTAAAGGATTCCCTTTAATATCAAACGTGCACAAATAATTTTTTAATTTATCTATATTTTAATATTATTTACAAAATGCTAATAATATATTATTTTAGCTACGTATATTCAAGACAATTCTAGAATCTCTCAAAATTTACTTTACTTTTTATAATAAATTTGCATGCAAATAAAAAGATTAATAAATAATTTTAATCAAAAAAATGAAAGTAAAATTGCATATTCATATTTTATTTGAAAAAACAAAAGAAAAAGGAATCAAAGAAAAAAAAAAAAAATTGATGTTAATACAAAAATGGGAAAAAAGGAAGATATAACTTAAAGTTTTATAATATATAATTATTAAAACTGACATAAAAATATAAGACAATAATTTTATTTTTACTAATATAATAATTAATACAGTATAATATATTATATATATATATGAATACACTATAATATCTTTCATTTAAATTAAACAGGGAATAATAAAAGAATTTTAATATGAAGTTTTTTTGTCATAAAATTGAATATTATTACTTTTTTAATGCCAATATTTACAAATGGTAATATAATTAAAATAAAAAAATAGTTATAAATTAATTTTTTTAAAATTATATAACAAATAATTAAAAATAGTATAAAAAAAATGCTGTATATATATATTATGTTTTATTATTTGTATTATCATCGATTTTTGCACAGTATTTAACAAACAAACTAATAAAAAGAATGTAGAAAGATTTCTGCCAGTTTTATTTATTATATAAATATTTTTAGAGTAAATATGTATGTTTCATATATTTACATTATTAGACATGAAATAGATATCTTATTTTATATAAAATTTATTATTCTTTATATAAAAAATTTTTAATGTAATATTTTTATTTTTCATAAGGAATTAGTTATTAAATAGGAAGTATTTATGTAATTTAATAAAAATTTTCATTATGTTTATAAAAGCTTAATCTTCATTATAAAAACCTTTGGATATATATAAAATAATTTTTATTTCTACAAATTATTTTTTCATAAAAATATTTTAGTATTTTATATCAAATCAATATTCAAGTAGAGAAAATTAACGTTTAACAATAACTTAATACTTAGTATATAAATATCTCAAAAAAAAATTTATATAAAACATATTAATAAAAAGAAATTTTAATAATATTGAATTTCTTTTTTTTTATAAGGTAATTTTTTAACTAAATATTGCCTTATTCTTGTGAACACCGTGCGTTAATAAAAATTTTTTACTTACATTTATTTTATTAATAATTATATTTGAAAAGTTAATAATATTCTATATAATCTCCTATATGAATAAACGAATCATAAAATTTTATAAATACAATGTAATAGTTTCATTGTAGTTACAATCTTTAATAATTTTTTGTTAAATATTACTGCATATTTATAGTTAGGACTATTATTTTAAAAAAAAAAGTCTCAAATATAGTTATGCAAATAGATAAATAAAAAATATAATATATATATATATACATATATATATATATTTTTAAGTAGGAATTTTATTTTTATTAAAAAAATACTTGAGGCGGTAAACTAATGCAAAAAAAAAAAAAGAGACTAAATGTGCACATAATATATACATGTTTAAAGTAATTTTAATATAGGTTATTTTATAGAATGTATAATAAAGTAATGAAAGAAAAGCAACCATAGTTTTCTAGGTGAATTTTTTTTTAAATTAAATGTTTGAAATATTAAATTTATATATAGTGAATTGCTATTTTTTGAATTAAAAAGAACATTTACATAGTAAAATTATGTTTTTAGTTTATTCAAAGTTATTTATATATGTGCTTTAAAATGACATTAATATTAATTTTTTAGAAGAAAAAAAGTAAAATAAAAAAATAATATTATTTAATTAAAAATTTTTAATAAAAAAAAATAATGAAATACAAAATATAAAATAATAAAAAACATTTTAAAAATGTTTCGTCGAAATTTTGATCTTTGTGAAATTTAAATAAAAAATATTGCGCATGTTTATTAATTTTTTAATCATATTTACCTTTGTAAACTATTTGAAACAAAAATCTTTATTTAGTAAAATTACAATTTTTTTAATAAATATATTATTTTTAAATAAAAATCTTAAAATAATTTTTACCACATTGTATTACAAATAAAGATAAGTTAGTACATTTTGAAATTTTTTTATAAATAAACCCAAAAAGGGAAAAATTTTTCTAATAAAGAATTGTATATGAACAAATTTCCACTATTAAAAAAATTTTTTTTTCTAATTTGATTACGTAAATAAAATTTTTAATTTTTTATTTTATTTTATTATTGATAATGAACATAAATGTGCAATCAAATTAATGCATATGATATACTCTTATATAGATATCTGATCAAATTTTTTTTCTATTAGATTTTTTTAAAAAATTTTACAAAATATGTTTGTCATATATTAAAACATAAATTGAAATTTCCTTTTTAATATATTTAACGTTTTATTTTACTTATCATATTTTTTTTTTCTACTACTTTATCCTTTATTCTTATAGGAAAAAATTAACTATTTTAAATTTTAAAATTCCCAAAAACAAATTTTCCAGTAAAATTTTTTTTTATGAATATAGTATAATATTAAATAAGTTTTTACTATTTTAATATTATCAATATTCAATTTTTTAAGAAACGTTCATTCTAAAAACTTTTTTTTATTTTTCATTGTATTATTTATAAAATCATTTTTATAGTATTTTTAAAATTTCATCTTTCTTTATCCTAATTTTCATTATACATTCTAGTAATTAAAATTATTTTATTATTTTTATAATCCCTTCATTTATATATATGTGTTTTTTTTTTTGTATAATTTGTTAGTATTTTTAAAAAAATTTAAATTATTTTTCATTGAATGGTATATAAAAAAGAAGAATTGCATTAATAAAGAAAAACAATAATTTTCTTTAATTTTTATTGTATATATTAAATCAGTTGATAATTTTATATTAAATTAATTTTTTACCATATTATTTTATGCTTTAAGTATCATATATTGCATGCATGTATTATTCTATCAAATGCCATAAGCATGAATTTTTTTAGAAAATACAAATTAGCTTGTTTTTCCTTCTGTTTCATATAAAATTAGATAGAATCTAGATATTCATCAAGAATTATGAAAAAATCTATTAATTTAATTATAAATCTTAAGAATGGTATAAAATGAAGTATGTAATTACATAAATATATACTTTTAAAATTCTAGAAGTTACTAAAAAGATTTTTTCAAAGATGATGTTGTAATAAAATATTCAAAAAGGTAATTGTTAATATATTTTTCATATTATATTATTTATTTTTTTTATATTATTGATTAATTTATATACAATATACTTATTCATTAAGTTAAATATATTTTTTTATTTTATATAGATGGTTAATTCTTTAGATTAATGTAAAAAATTACAGTATAAAAAATAGAAATATAAATCCATAATATTATATATTTTTATATGAATTTAAATATATATAATATAGTTTTATTTCGTATAAAGAAAAATTGATAACAAATATATATGAAATGAAATATATAAAAAATTAAGGAAAACATAGTATTGATATCTTTTTAATATTTTTTTAGTTAAAAAAGCATAAGATAAAAATATAACGAATTAAGATAAAAATAATCATGATTAGCATAAAAAAGAAATAATGTACACTATTTAAATATATATAAATTTATACATATTTCTACGTTTAATTTTTGTCGAACATAAATATATAAAATTCACAAAAAATGACACATACTATCTTTTTTTTTCTTATGTTGTTATTTTTTATCTTAATTAGAATAAGTACTTCTCAAGAATTCAAAGATGATAATGAATACTCCAAATCAAAATGGTATTTCTTTTTTTGTAAGTTTTAATTTAAAATTTTTAGTTAAAGATTCAATATATATATATATTTATTTTTAGGAATACTACAAGTAATGTTAATAAATTATCATCTTTGGAAAATTCAGAGGAAGACGAAATTGATATTGAAGAATTGTTATTTTATTTAGATGATAAACCTAATTCTTCAAAAAGTTCATCCAATATTTTGCAAGTTACCTCTATAGATTCATTATCTTCAAATTGTAATTCAAATGGCATAAAGTCCAATTTAGAAAAAGAATTTATTAATTTAGAAAGTTCATCCACTTGTTCAAAAAATTTACCTTCTTATTCACAAAATATGATCTCAAATATAGAAGATATAAATTCAGATTCAGAAAAGGAATTCATCTATTTACAAAATGTACCAACAAATTTACAAGATTTACCTTCTAATTCACAAAATGTTATCCCATATTTAGAAGATATAAACTTTGATTTAGAAAAGGAATTCATCAATTTACAAAATGCACCAACTAATTTACAAGATTTACATTATAATTTACAAAATATGATCCCATATTTAGAAGATATAAACTTTGATTTAGAAACGGAATTCGTCAATATACAAAATGAACCAACTAATTCACAAGATTTACCTTCTAATTCTCAAGATATAATCTCACATTTAGAAGATATAAATTATGATTTAAATAATGAGTTGCCTAATTTTCATGATTTAATTGCTAATTCACAAGATATTTCTTATAATTTACAAAGAGATACTCAGAATATGCATAGTTTAACGCACAATTTAAAATATTTTACTCCTCAGTTGCAAAACATAGGCAAAAATTTGTCATATATATCGCATGAGTTAAATATATTGTCTAATGAATCAGAAAAATTATCTTCCTTACGAGATGACAGCTTTGACATGCTAGAAGAATCGTATACATATTTTTTAAGAATTTCTGTACATAAATTTTATTTTAAACTAACTACATTTATTTAAAAATTTAATTTTTTGTTTTTAGAGATGGTTTTGATTCTGATTCCGATTCTCATTACAGTTTACATTTGGAAAATGAATCTTCCTCTGACTCTAGTTCTGATTTGGATCCTGATTATTGTGTTAAACAAAATAAAAATACATGTAAAAGAAAATTTAGAGGAAAAACAAAACATCCAAGAAAAAAGAAAAAAGTATGTAGAAAAAGTAAGGCAAAAAGTCTCCGTGATAAAAATAAACGGAATGATTCAGATAATAGTAAAGATTATGTAGAAGATGAAGACATATTCCAAAGTATGAGAAAGTTTTTTAAAGTACTTGCCAAATACGTTTTTAAAATGGAATTAAACCAAATGTCCGAATACGTAATTCCAGCTTTTAGGGATATATTTAATGTATTAGGTAAAAATTACAATGAATCAATAAATTTGTTTAACTCTTATACTTCTTCATTGGAAGAACTTATAGAATGTGAACTAAAAAATGTGAATGATAGAGTATTAATGAAAATTAAGACTCAATGTAATGCTATTATTAATAATAAACATAACGATCCAAAGAATGCTGTTGCGATTTCTCAATCAATTTATAGTAAAATTAAGTGGTCTTTTTCTAAAAGAAATGAAATACGTGATGCCTTAAACACATGTATAAGCAATTTTAATAATTTAAAAAAAAAAATTATATCTGAAAATAAAATAATTAATAAGTTACCAAAAATAACGTATGATTTCACATATAATCATTTAACTTGTTTTAAATCTATATATACATCAGATCATTGTTATAATTATAATCAAATATTAGATTCTATGGAAGATTTTATTAATTACATTGAAATATCAATTAAAAAAGGTATAATGCCAGATGATTATGTTAAGATATCTTATATAAGAAAAGGAATAATTTCAGTTACGAACAATTTAAGAAACACTCAAAAAATTTTAAAAGTAAGCTTAAATCATTTGAAGAATTTGGATTTATCACCAAAAGATCATGAAACAAAAATAAAAATTATTTTTCATTTTGTTAATGAAGTAAATAAAAATAATAGTAAAAAATTAGAAAAAATGATGAAAAATCATGGTCAATTAGAAATCATATATGCTATATACGATATTTTATTAAAAGAAGCAAAATATATTTTGGAATCTCGTGATAGAGTCTCTCGAGTTTTTAACATAAATGTTAGTGATTTAAATTTAAATAAAACAAGATTAAATAAATTATTAAAAAATAGGGATATGAAATTAAGATTATATAATCTATATAAAAATATTATTCGACTAGTAAAGTATGAATCACTTAATTATCAATTGAGTTTAATTAAATATTTATATATATCATTGAAAAAATTGCTCTTAACAAGAAATAAGAAGCTTAGAATAAAAAAAGCATTTATGACATCTAATAAGCAGAGACAAATGAATTCAGAACTAAAAAATATAAAAAAACTATTTAGAGAGGTTAAATTAAATGTGAAATGCAGAGGTATATATTCAATGCTAAAGGAAATTATATTAGAATATAGTAAATTATGGAAATCTCTAGAAGAAAATATTGATAGAAATTTATCAATTCTTGAAACAATTAATAGTGTAATTAATGATGATTTATCAAAAACCAATAGAAAAAAAGGAAATGAAGTTTCTAATGAAGGTATATTATTTCTGTTATATTATGTCAAGGAAGCAATGTTTAAATATTCTTAGAATAACTGCAATAAAATTATATTTACAAATATCAAAAATTCATTAAGTTATTATCATCCTTATACTAAATGAATTTAATAAAATAGGAATTTTATAATACATAGAAGATTTTCCTTAATTTTGACAAAATTTTTTTACTTATTTGTTACAGAATCTGTAGCTTACTTTTTTTTGACATTTAAAGACTTACAGACAACAATGAGTATAAGTGCAACTAAAATATTTCTATATTTTTAATACTTAAAATTTTTCAAAAATTTTTATATTATACTTTAATTTTTTTGTTTATTTATATCTCTAATTCTTTAATAATTAACTTTTTACAATTTATGTTGATTTGATTTTATACTATATTTATAATAATATATTTTTTTGTAAAAACATATATATATATATATATATATATATATATATATATATATATATATTGTCGTAACGTAATATTTAGAATAGTAAAAACGTAGGAAAATAATATTCTAATTTGTTAATATATTTCTTTATTTAATTATTTTTTAACTATAATATTTCATATTTTATATACATAGAATTTTATAATGTTTATTTTAAAGAATAGTACACTTAGATATATAAACAAAAAAGTATTTGCTTTATTAAAGAGGCATATATATATTTTATAAGTCATTTGATACATAATTTTAGTTTTCCTTATTTATTCATTATTTCTTCTGTAATTGGTTAATAATAGGCTTCATTAACCTTTTTGGCTATAAAAGGGCTAGCTATGTGGAGAATACGTAGTTAGTTGTGCTAACTAAAAAAAAAATTATTGGAATTTTTTTTTGAGATATGTTTCTTTTGAAAAAGAGAAAGATAAAATAAAAAAAAAATAGAAAGATTTAATTTTTTTTTTTGGAAGGAGAGAGATTTTTTTTACAAAAGATAATAATGTTTTTGTAAAGAGTTTAATTTACATAATATTTATATTTTGAATTTATGAGTGAAAATTTTATACATATGACAATACAATTTTCACGTAATTAATATTTATATAATTAATTTGCATTATTAATAATTGCTTATGTTTGCTAATTCAACAGGAATATATGTAAATTGCTGAATATAACTCACAACAAAGAAATAATTAATTTACATTTAATTATTAGTGAATATTCAATAAGGATTTAAATTTTTAATAAAAATAAGGATTTTTATTAAAGTAAATAAATGCCTATTGAAATTAAAGAATGCTGAACGAAGTAGAGCACATAAATAAGAATCACTTGTTCAAAGCATTTAAAAATATATATAAATACAACAAAACAGTAGAGACACCTCTACGTGCTCTCTATTAATTGCTTTGTTCAGTACTATAATAAAGTCACCGAACACCCAGTTAATAAATCAGTAATACACATAATATAATTTAAATTTATTTGTTTATTTTTATATTAGATATTTGTAGTTACAATTGCTTGTATAAAAGTATGTACGTTTATACAGAAAATGCATATAAAATATATAAAATAAGTTGAATAATATTTTAAAAATTAGTTAATATATAAAATAGTAAAAACATAAAAATTCATAGTTTAATATTTATTTCAGGTCTTTTATTTAACTTTAATTAATATTAATTCATATATATATATATATATATAAATTAATAAGATTTTGTTTAAGCGAATGCATGTTTAAATATATTAATGAATTAAAAAATTTTAACTTCATAAAATATGAATATATATATTTTATTATCTTAATTAAAAAAAAAAAAATTACTAATGATGTCTACAAGAAAAGTCATTTTTATATAATAAATATAATTAAAAATTTTCATTATATATAATGTCTTTATTTTTTTTACTATAAAAATGTGCATGGATTATTTTATTTGTTATTTGTATAAAAGCATTTAAATACTTTATAATATATCCAAAGAAAAAAATTTTATTTTTTTTACCTAAAGAAATTTAATTTAATTATTATGTGAGATTACATACATTTATAAGGATACAGTATTATTACATAATTAATTATATATTTTGTAAAATATTTTTTATATTGCAATTTATATTTTAATTTTGATTTTTTAAAATTTATTAAAATATATTATTTTTTTCTGTTGTTTTTAGAAATGTACTTTTGTGTAAACGATTGTAATTAGTCGATTTTAAAAAGTGAATTATTTTTTTTTCTATATTTATAAAATATTTTTTTATCCCCTTAAATAAATCTTATATAAATTTATTATATATATTAAACTTAATTTTTTTTTTTTTTTATAAGCTGCATGTGTTGTACCCAATAATATGACAACAAAACAATTGAAAATAAGAAAAAAATTATAAAATATTTAAATTAAATTTTTAATGAAGTATTAGTAATTTATAATAATTTACTTTTTTTATTTGTATAATTTTATTTTCTATTTCTTTTTCTTCATTTCATTTTAGTATTATTAACTTTTTTTGTAGTTATGTTTTTGTTTTTATACATTTTAAATAATTAGTATCCATTCTCCATATTTTCTTTTTTATGGATCAAATTAACTATAATAACATTCTTTTCTATAAATTTTTATAATTGTAAAGTTTTTTTTTTTTCATTTTTATCTTTAAAATTATTATCTCCTTATTTTGAATGGAATACAATAAATATATGAGAATAACTGTTTCATTTGTATATATTTTTGAATTTTTAATATTATTAGATATAGGTTTCATCTTCATTGTAAAAAAATTATTAAAATTATGTACATTATTTTAGTAAATTTATTAATTTATTTCTTTATATTTTATTGTTAAAAACTTTAATATTACAAAAAATTATTGCATATTATAATAGAATAAATATTAAAAAATTATATATCAAAACCTAAATGTATATTAAAGAAAGTATAATTTTAAGAAATGAGAGAATTAAGCAAATTTATATTGTGTATAATTATTATAATTACTAAGATTCCTTAGTAAATTTTAACTTTAAAATATTTAAATTTTTTTATTTTTATATGGTTTTATTTTTTTTTCTATGTATTTTATAAGTTTTTATTATTATATGTTATCATTTAGCTTTTCATTAGAACATTTCTTCAATATAATTTAAATATAAATATATTTAATGTTAATATCATAAAATTTTTTTTTTTTTACCTTTTTTTATTATATAATATTATTTAAAAGTAATTTATAAAAAATGATAATAAAAAATTATAAAAATAAAAGAAAATTTCAGAGTTATTTATTTATATCACTAAAATAAGCATATAGGAAAATTATAATGACAATCAAATAATGTATTATATGAAAATTTTCCTAAGAAACATTAACTAATTACATGGAAAAAAAAGGAAGAAAATTTGAAAAGAGGGAGATTGATATTGTCCTTAAGAAGAGGATACCAAAAAGAAATTTAAATATTAAAAATATTTAGCAACAATGTTATAACTAATCATTTTAAAACAACAATGTTATAAAAATATATTTGTTTTTTATTTCAATGATATTTATTTCAAAAAACAAATATAAATACTTCAGAAATATAAAATCCATTTTTTTTTTAATATTTGTAAAATTTATTAAAATCATCGTTCTTTCTACAATCAATGTAGAAAAAAATATATTTTGCATTTTTTCTATGGGATGTTTCTACATATTCATTTTTTTTTAATTTAAGAAACAAGTAATATTAAATGAAAATTAGGAGAAAAGAATATTCTTTAAAAAAATATAGAGAAATTATAGTAATATTACATTTTAAAATAATAGACTTGTACCATTTTAGGTAATTTCAAAAAAAAAATATATTAATTATTTTTTGTTTTAATTCTATTTATTTGAAAATTTTACATTTTTTTTTTAGATTTCTTAATTGAATATATAGATAACTCAAAAAAGATGTTTTTGTATTTATTTTATAATGATGCAATTTCTTCTTTATATATTACAATATAAAAGAATATATTAAAAGGAAATAAAACTTTTCAACAGTGTTAATTATATTTCTTTTATTATTGAAAATTTACAAATATGCATTGGCATTAGTAATAATATGTAACATTCCATAGGTTTAACTTTAAATAGAGGACATAAAAATTCTAAATAAACACATAAGAATTTCCATTTTATTGATAGAAAATAACATTATTAAAAAAATTAAACATGAACATTTTATGAAATAACTGATTTATAATAACATTAAATGTTTATTAAAAGAGATTTTTTATGATTTATTAACTATTAAAATAAGTAAAAATTGTAATCGTAAATATTATAAATCTATTTAAAAAGATTTTCATACTAAAATTATGAAACTTCTAGTGTTACAGAAAAAGGACATAGATCATGAAATATAAATAGACTTTTATACAATTTTACTTAAGACAAACACGTATTAACTTATACAAAAGCATAAAATATATGTATAATTATTTTAAATAATAGTGATAGGGAATTAAGAAGAATTATAATTCATTGGAATTTTAGAAAAAATAATAAAAATATTAATTTTAAATGTTATAAAATTTTCGCTAAAGTATAACAAGGGAAATATTATTATAATTTTAGATTATACAACTAAATAGAAAAAGTAAAAGTATATAAATGAAAGGGATATATACATTTATTTTTATGTATAAATAGGAATTTTAAACAATAAAATGAAAATAACGCTGGAAAAAAAAAAAAAAAAAAATACACATAAAATATATAATAGATAAAATATTTAACTGAAGTGATTTGTAAAGAAGTGAATTTATTTTTAATATATGAAAAATTCGCAGAAAAAAAAGAAATATTTTTCATTTTCTTTATATTATTTAAGTTATCAAATAGGATACATTTAAATAATAATATATTTATTTTCTCTTACACTTATACTAAAAAAATATATATAACATAAAAAATCCAGTTTTAAATTAATATTAAATATTTCAAGTATAGATGGAAATAACCTATGAAATTTAATAAAATTTCTTAATGAAAATAAATTACATTTTTTTCATTTATAAGAGTTGAAAATATTATCCATTTATATGAAAAACATAAAAATAAGATATATGTTTAAAAATATCTTAGATGAATTTATAAGATTTTTTAATTTTAATTTTAAAATTGAAATAAAAGAATAATAGCGTATAAATTAAGTATATATAGTTCCGTAATATAAATAAAGAAATTAAAAAAAATAAAATGAAAAAATGAAAATAATAACATTAAATTACCATTAATGTATCTTTTATATTGTCTATATTGACAATTATGTATTTTCAACATATCAATAAAAAGGAAAAATTAAATAGGAATTTTTTTTATCAACTAAGAAAAAAGACAATATTGAAAGATTAAAGATATAAATATTAAAAAATAGAAAAAAACTACAATTTTTTTATATTTCATTAAAAAAGAAAATGAATAAGGGAATAATGAAAACTATGTAGTCAAAAAATTAGAAAATATATGTGGTCTTTTATAAATATATAAAGTATCATCTTAAAAATTATAATAATTGGGTAATAAATTTTTTTTAGGGTATTAACAAATAATACAGAAAAGTAGATATATATGTAAAATGTAATATTTTTTGTTTATATTAATAAAAGCAGAATAAAATAAATTTGATGTTAAATGTTTTCAATATATATAACTCAAAATTATTATAAAGTTTTATAAATAATAAAAATAAAATGCATTCAAGATATTATTAAACAAAATTTAAAAAAAAATAAATTTAATATAAAAATAAAATTAAAATTAAGAGATTCTATTTATTCTTACAATCTAAGAAAAAAAATAATTTAGCATATAATTAACATTTTCTATATATATAAATGATTATATAAACACAAAAACAAAAGAAAAAATTTTATATTAAAATTAGAAAAAAACAATGAGATTTTCATAAATATAAAAAAATTACTTGAATAAATATATAAATTACAGTTTTAATAAAGATAATATAATAAATTGACTTATTTAAAAAAATATTAAATATAATTGCTTAAAATGAAAAAAGTTTTTATGCTTTAATGAAGAGAAAGATTTACGCATTAACTCAAATAGTAAAAGAATAAAATTAAAAATCAATAAGGGAATTAAAATTTTGAATTATATTATTAAAAATATTTTATGAAAAGTTCTGCTTTCTTGAATATATAATGAAATAAAATAAGGAAAAATTTATAAATAAATTGTCAAAATGCTTATTATTCTATTTTGATTTTTCATTACTTGTAACAATTTTAGAGAAATATATCTCTGAATAGTAATACATAACATTGCAATACATATTAGGACTCGAAATAAGATTAATTTTTGAATAGATATAATTTAATTGAAATTAAATATTAAATTATTTAAAGAAGTATTAAATGCATTTTGAGTTATGTATTTCATTTTCATAGGAAAAATAATTACCTAAAAAAACTACATGAATGGATGATTTTTTAACTAAGTGTTCTGTGACTTTATTAGAGTACTGAACAAACGAATTAATAAAGAGCATGCAGAGTTGCCTCTACGGTTTTGATGTATTTATATATATTTTTAAATGCTTTGAACGAGTGATCCTTAATTATGTAATCTACTTCATTCAGCATTCTTTGATTTCAATAGGCATTTATTTACTTTAATAAAAATCCTTATTGAATATTGATTATTATTTAATTGTAATTTATTTAATTCTTTGTTATGAGTTATACTCAGCAATTTAAATATAATGCTGTTAAATTGACAAACATAAACAATTAGGAAAAGTGCAAATAAATTATATTAATATTAATTACATGAAAATTTTATTGTTATATGCATAAAATTTTCTTTTACAAAATTCATCAAAAAAATTATTTCATTTCCTTCCCCAAAAAAAAAATTCTTTTTCTTTTTTTTTTTTTTTTTTAATTTATTTATTAATAACAAATATTTTAAAAAAAATTGATTTTTTAATCAATTTTTTTTTTCTGACGGTCTTTGCATTTTTTTTCTTTTTTATCAAAATTTTTCCTGACAGTCTTTGTACTTTTTTTTTTTTAAAAAAAAAATACAAATAAAAAAAAATCATCAATTTTTTTTTTGTGTGCGTATGTATGATCAACTCCGTATTCTTCATTTAACTAGTCCTTTTATTTTTCAAAAATGTTAATAAAACCTTTTATTAACAAATGGAAGAAGAAAAAGAAAATTAAACTTCCTACTACTATCCAAAATATTATAAATTCAAAATTACTCAAGGTTAAGTCACATTAAGAATTCATACACAGTACTTAAGAGGTGGATAAAGCTTCTAAATTTTTTATTTCAAATTAAATCCTACTTGAAGTATTGTTTTTAAGTATAACTAATTTATATTATTTTCAAATAAAAAAGAAACATTTCCTATAAAGAATTATTATAATTTGTTCTTTATAATTTATATTAGTATGATATATTCAGAAAAATATAAATATATTTCATTTAGTGAAATAAGGAAAAAAAAAATAAGGATATTATAGAGTTATATGCAACTAATAGAATAACTTACTAAGCTCTTTATGTGCACGAGTTTACATTTACAAAATGCAATAACGAATATTTTAGAAATACACTAAATTTAGAGCAGCATGAAACTAATATATAAATAAATCTGATAGTTTAAAGAAAAGAAAGTATATTTTTTTTGAAGGATTATTATTATTTTTATTTTTTCGAGACAATATATATATTTTGAATTTTCGAAAATATAGAATATTATATAAAAGTTTTCTTCTCTATAAAATAATGAGAAAAATATGTACGTGAACATTAGCTTTTATATATATTTTTTTTCTTGTAATTTTTTTAAAAGGAGAAACTTTCTATATTAAAAAAGTTAGAATCTTATAATTTATTTTATATTTTTAAATAAATACTATTAAAAAAAGAAAAATTATTTGGTTTTTCGTCAATTTATTCTAAATATACTAAAAAAGGAAATGGTATCAAAAAGGAAAAAGCACTACTAACAATAATGTATGATAAATAAATATGATTTTCATTTGTAGTTTCACTGTTCTTTTTTTTTTTAGTATAATTACAGACTTTAATTTTTAAATTAACTAATATATTAATGATAAACAAGTAACTTCATATTAAAAAAAGTAAATTACGACTTCCTTAAATTTTTATATATGACTTTTATAGAATGGCAATATATTTTTTTGTTTTTCATGTTTTACCTACATAAATGTTGAAAGTTTTAAATTTAACCATGTTAAATTGTATAAAAAAAAAAAATAATATTAAGAAGATAGAAGAATGTCGGATAAAAACATTTGTCGTAATTCTATAATTTTTATATTTAACTTTTCTGTAAATTCTAATTTCTACAATTTTTTTTTATTATTCATTGAATTCTTAAATTATTCCAAAATTTCTCTTATTTCATTTTATTTATTCTAATTTTATATATATCATATTAAAAAAATTGTAATAGATTATTTTTAGAATTAATATATTTATTTTTTTTTGTTTTTTTTTTATTTTCAGGATATTATATATTAATATTTTTAAATTAATTAAAATTATATTGTATCCAATAAATTGATTAGAAAGAAGCGATTAAAGGTATTCCAAATAAAGAGGGGAAAATTTTTTCTCTCCTCATATAAATATATTAAAAAAATTATTTATATACATAATTACTTTTTCAGTTTTATTATTTTAAGCCTTAATTATTTTATTTGGCATGCATGTACTTTTGGAGAAAATAATATTAAATGAATTTTAGAAAAAATGAACCATTTCTTTATTTATTTCTCTTAAATACATGGAATCTATATGTTTATCAATAACAATAAAGTATTATATTATTCTAAATGAAAATTTAAAAAAAGTAGAAAGTACAAAAATATAATATAAATTAAGTTTCTAAATTATAAAGGTTAGTAAATAAAAATTATTTGTAGGATTTTGTTGTAATAAAATATTATGAAATATTGTAGATATTCCGTAAATATATATTATTTAATATTTCTATATGGATAGTAAATTTTATGCATAATTTATCTTATATATATTAATAAGTAAAAATAATATTTAATTTTATTATCAACGTTAATGTTCTATGATAATATTAGTGAATTAAAACATTTAATTTAAAAATATATACACTTTACATATTTATGGCAAGTTTAAAAAAATAAGTTTCGTTCATTATATAAAAAATTAAAAATTTATCTATATAAAATTAAATATATAGTAATATAGAGAAAAATATTTTAACGATTATGTTTTCTATTTTCTTCATAATAAAGAAAATAAGTTAAGGATAACAATCAAATTGCTTTAAAAAACACTAAACATAAGAACAAGAACAAAATATATTGCAATATTTAAATAAAAATAAATTTATGTCTAATATTACTTTTAACTTATGTAAAATATAACATTATTTATTCACAAAAAATGTTATATATTAGTTTCTTTTTTTTTTTTTTGAAATTTTTTATTACAATAAGAAGTACTATTTCTCAGGAGTATAAAAATGATAATAAACAATCTGAATCTAAAGAGTATAAAATTTTGGGCAAATTTTTAATCAATATTTTTTTTAGTTAAACACTCCTTATATGTATTCATTTTTTTATTTTTAGATGCATCCTAAATATGGATGATAAATCATGTGCTTTGGGAGATATAATGAAAGGTGAACTTAATAATGATGAAATGTTATATTGTTTTGAAAGTCAGCCTTCTTCCTCAGCAACATGTAGTACATTAGATGATTCACATATTTATTCACAAAGCGAAACATCATATTTGAAAGATGAGGATTTTGAACCAAAAATTGAATTCAATTTGGAAGTTATATCTCCTTATTCAAGAGGATTAACATCTTATTCACAAAATGTGATTCCTTATTTTCAAGGTTTAAATACTTGTTTAGAAAAACATATAGATGGTTCACAACAAATGACACTTTATTTTCAAGATCCTACTATTGATTTGGAAAGTATAAATAATGATTTGGATAACAATGCTTCTAATTCATTAAATAGCTCCAATAATTTAACAAACATTTCTTCATCTTTAGAAGAAATGAAAAATGATTTGTCATCTATATCCTGTGATACTGGCAATTCGTCAAATGAAACAGGAGCATTGCCTATTTCTAATGATAAACCTTTTTATCATCCAAAAAAATCGTACATATATTTTTTTGAATATTTTATATATATTTTATTTTAAATAAACATATATAACACATTTCCTTGTTTATTTTTAGGAGTATATCGTGTTCAGATTCTGATTCAAATTCCGATTCTGATTTAAATTATGATTTAAATTCTGATTCTGATTTTGATTCCGATTCTGAGTCTGAGCCTGAGTCTGAATCCGAATCTGAATCTGAACCTGAGTCTGAGTCTGAGTCTGAGTCTGATTCTCATTCGGACTCTGGTTCCAGATCAAGTCATAACATTAATACAGATAAAGAAAAGGGTAAACGAAAATATAAAAGGAAATTAAAAGGAAAAAAAAAATGCCCAAAAAAAAGGAAGAAAGTGGATAAAAAACAAATAAAAATAAGTTTTATTGAAAATACAGATAAGGAATCTAGATATCTACGTTTAAAAAAGTTGAGTAAATTAATTGCACAAGATATCTTTAAAATAGAATTAAAGGAACTTTCCGAATATGTAGTACCTGCTTCAAAAGAAATCTTTAACGTATTAAATAAAAATTATAATGAATCAAAAACTATATTTAATTCTTGTACTTCTTCATTAGAAGAAATTTTAGACGAAGAACTAAAAAATGTCAATTCATATGAGTTAGAAAATATAAAGGCAATATATAATGCTTTTATTAAAAATAAATATAATAATCCAGAAAATGCTCATGCAGTTTCTATGTCACTTACCAGTGTAACGCAATCGTCTTTTACTAAAAAAAATGAAATATTAGATACTATAAAAACATGCTTAAATAATTTTAATGACCTAGAACAGAAAATTCAAATTCAAAAGGAGATATTTAAAAAATTACCAAAAATTACATATGATTTCATATATAATCATTTAATTTTTTTTAAATTTTTACATCAATCTAAAAAAGAAACTAACTTTTTTAAAATGTTTGATTCCATGGATGATTTTATAAAAGATATAGAAGTAGCAACTAAAGAAGGTTATTTTATAAAAAATAATATTAAGTTACATGAAATTGGTAAAAAATTGGTTGCTATTACTTATAACTTAAAAAACATTAATAGAATTTTAAAAACAAGTTTACGTTATTTAAAAAAAATGAAAATATCATCTAGAGATCCTCTGATAATAACAAAAATTATTTTTCATTTCATGAATGAAATTAATAGGGATAATATTAAAAATGTAGATAAAATATCGAGTAAGCTTGGAGAATCAGATATTACAAATGTTATTCGTGGTGTTTTATTAAAAGAAGCAAAATATATATCAGAATCTGGCGATAGAGCTGCTGAAAAGTTTAATATAAATGTTAATGAACTAAATTTAAATAATACGTACTTAAAGAGTTTATTAAAAAACAAAACAATGAAATATAAGTTATACAAATTTTATAAAAATCTTATGAGATTAGTTAGATTTCAATCTCTTCAATATCAACTTGCGTTGGTTAAGAAATTATTTTTTTCATTGAAAAAAACACATTTTAAAAAACAAATAGATATGAATAAGAATATTTTGATAACAGGAAAAAAACAAAAAAAACTTCTATTAGAATTAGAAAATTTGAAAAAAATATTCAATGAAGTTAAGTTAAATGTAAAATGTAGATGTATATATTCTAATTTAAGGGAAAATATAATAAAATTTAATAAATTTTGGGATTTACTGGAAAACGGCATGGAAAAAAATGTATTAATACTTAATAACCTTAGGAATATAATTAGAGATACTTCAGATGGTGACAAGGAAAGACAAAATACAACTTGTAATGAAGGAATATTATTCATGTTGTTTTATGCAAAGGAATCATTGATTAAATATTATTAAAACGAGTTCAATAAAATTACATTAATAAAAATTTTAAAATTCTGCATAAATATTATTAAGTTTTATATGAATTCGATAGAATGAAAATAGTTTTATGTTATATTAGAAATTAACTATAATTTTTCAAAAAACTTCTATATATTCCTTGTAGAATTAATGAATTGCTCATATTTTTTTCATAACAAGAATGCAATTCTATTAGTACAAATCCTACTAAAACATATGTATATTTTTTTATATTTAAAAGTTACTAATAAATTTTAGATTATGTTTTATCTTTTTTTTGTTTATTTATAACTTCAATTAATTAATAATTGTCTTTATACTTTTCATTTTGATTTTATGGTTATATTAAATTTATAATATATGGATTCGCAGCAACAACATATATATAAATGTACATATAAATATTTAAAATTTTTAATTAATACATATAACTGTAAAAACACAAGAGAAAATTCTTATAGTTCTATTATGTATTTACTTTTCATTTGTTGTTTTTGTTTAATTTTAATTATTCATAATTTATATGTAGTAACTTCATACATTTTGAATAAATTCACTTTTATGTAGATGTATATATAAGGAAATAACAATTTGAATAATTGAATATGCATGTATTAAATAAATGAAAGTAATTTTATATAATGAAATGGTTTTCATTATACGTTTATATACTTATTTTTTCATTAATAAACACAATTTTTTTTTAATTGTTTTTTAACATTGGATAATTTTGAATGTTTAATTTATATGAATTAAAGCATATTTGTATATATTATAATGGTATATAAACTATAATATTTTAAATAATAAATAAATATTATAGATGGTATGAATTTCTATTATTAAATGTCGAGTTTTTACATTTTTTATTTTATTTTATATGTTGCCTCTTTGTGCTTGTATAAATTATTAAGATTTTATTTAAATAAACTTATATATAAATTTGCAAATGAAAAGTTTTTTTTATTAGTTGAAACACCAACATTTTTGTTTCTTGATTTATGGTTTATTGACTATTCAAAGATTTTTATAGCGCCTTAAATAGTGATTTATTAATTGTATATTCAATGACTTCGGTAATATCAAACAAACAAATTAATATAGAGCAAGTAGAACTGTCTCTACTAATTTAATAAATTAAAGTTTAATTTTAATGATGTAAACCAGTAAAATGTTTTATATATAGTCTACTTCTTTGGGCATTTATTGTATATAGGAGGTATTTATTTAATATAAATTTTATATTTTTATTAAAAATTTAAATCTTCATTATCAATTTTAATTATATTTATTTTACTTATAATATTATGAGTAGTGTTTAGGAATTGAAATCCGTTGCTTTAAAGTAAACATGAATAACTAATGAAATACAAATTAAATTATATAAATATTACAAACACGAAAATTTTATTATGGTAAATATAAGATTTCCTTATATAAATTTAAACAAAATATACTACAAGAAACTTTTTACTCAATAACTCTTAATTCTTTCAACAATTTTAATCATTTTAAAAAAAAACAAATATAAATTTATATGTATTTTAAATTTACAAAAAGAAAACAAAAAAGATTATCTAATTTTTTTTTTTTTTTTCATCTAGCTTTCGAATGGTTAATTATTTATTTTCCATATATCTGTTACTTATTTTTCTCAAAAAGATGGACAGTTCCTTTTATTAACCAATTAATTATTATTTATGTTAATTCACGTATTACACTATAAATGCAACATTTAACATTGAGTTTTTAATTTTTCACATAAAACAAGTACATAATATCTTTCATAAAAAAGTAAAAAAAAAAAAAAATTATTGCATAAATAAATGATAATTTTTTTTAAGTCATAGTCATTAACTAAAAAAAAAAATAATATATACATATATAAATCTTTTTTTATTTACTTCACTTTTATTAACCTTAATTACATATGCATTTTTTTCCTAAATATGTAACATGCACATATAAAAAAATATCTCCTTTATTCATTTAAATATTATTTAAAATAGGTCAATAATTCTATTTTTATACCATGTTCCTATAGAAATTTGCTATACATGTTATAGTAGGTGTATCTCTATATATGTTTATCAATTATCTTCCATGCCCATTCAACTCCTTAAAGGAGGATATTATCATCATATAAATCCTTAAAAAGGTCAATGAAAGTTTTTAATGGCTAATTTACTAATTGGGCGTTCAGTGAATTTTATATAATTTTGAATAAATCAATCAATAAAGAGTAAATATAGTGGTTTCTATTGATTTTATTTATTAATAAATTTACTCTTATAACTGGTTAATAATAAATGTTATATAACTTTTTAAACACTCAATAGAATTAAATAGAATATATATAGAAAATTATTTGTCTTGTAAGGTATTCGAGATAATTCTTACATTAAAATGATTACAATAGGTGTATTCATTCATAAAAAAAGGTATCTATTAAAAAAAAATTAATAATAATTTTTTTTTAACCTCACTTTTTTTATTTAGAGAATGATTTTTTTTTAATCTAATGTATATATATATATATATATATATATATATATATATAATGTTAATGATGATGATTAAATTATAAATAATTAGTGACAAAAAGAATAAAATTTTATCACTTAAGAGAATTAATTTTTAACGAATGGTAATACATATACATACATTATATAATTAAGTATTATTATATATTAAATATTTAAGTTTTACTAAAAATAGGTAATAACCTTTTTTAAACTTTGTGGACATTATATAAATAATTAATATATTAAAAACTATAAGACGTTGGAATTTATATAATTTTAATCAAATAAACACTATTTTTATATTAATTAATTCATTTAATTCATATTAAATGTTATATTTACATGGTAATTATTCATTAACTATAATAAATGTATTATTATAAATAAAGTTAAAACTCTATACGATATTCAGGAATTTGATTATCCAATACTTAATAAAAAGTATAATTAGTCTTTTTGACAATAATAAATAACTGCTGTATGGAAACAAGTAGTTAGACATGCATGATCAAGATGAAAAAAAAAAAATAAATAATTGTTAATTTTTTTTGTTTTATTTTTGTAAATTTCAAAACATATAAAATATATTTTTTTTGGGAACCATTTAAAAATTGTGAAAAAAAAGAAGAAAACATTGTTTTCTAAAAAGTTTCTTCTATATTTTTGTTCAAATTTATGTAGAAAAATTTTATATTAACGATGATAAAATTTTTGTAATTTATTAATTATTTATGTTTACTCTCTCGATAACAATATGTTGGAATTTCCAAACGTTACCCATAACATTATAAATAAAATATATGTTATTAAAATTGATAATTAATGATGATTTAAATTTTTAATAAAAATACAGGATTTTTATTAAAGTCAATAAATTTCTCTGGAAAACAATAAATGCTCAATAAAGTAGACCGTATATATAAAATAGTTTACTGGTTTATAGAATAAAAATTAAACTTAAATTCACTAAATTAGTACATATAACTCTGCATATTCTTCATTAATATGTTCATTCAATACTCCAGAAAAATCATTAAATGGAAAATTAATAAATCATTTGTTCAACAAAAAAGAATTTGCATACTATGAAAAATAAAGTAAGTTATTTTTTGACTTATAATTTTATTATATATGTATATATATACTTTGTTTTACGCCAATATTTTTAATGCTCACTAACATACAATTATAATAAGAAAAATTTTATATTTTTCTAATTCTTAATTCAGTAAAAAATTGATATTTTATTAAATTAAAGCTCAATAATTTATTGAAAATTAAGAAAATAATTAAATAAATATAATATACAAATGATTTATTAATTTCCTGTTCAATGATTTTGCTAGAATGGAACTTACAAATTAGTGAAGAACATAAGAGAAAACTCTACTTAACTCAATTTTAATTTAATTAAAATTTTAATTTAAAATATTTATTTTTGTTAATCAACATCAAATACTGCTTATTAGTTAATTTTTTTTTAAGCTAATTTATATAATATTTCAAGGTGCCATTTCCTTAATATTGCATTTTAACTTAAAAAAAAAATATGCACTATATGGTAATTCAACTATATTTTCTTCCTCTCTCTAAAAAAAAAGAAAATAATAAAAGAAATATTATAATATTTTTAGTTAGTGTAATATGCAAAAAATATATATATATTTTTTTTTTTTTTGAATTGTAGATATACACATACACAAAAAAAATATTATTATTATTTAATTAAAAAATTTTTTTTTTATTTTTCTTGCTTTTGGTACAAGTTATATATATATATATTTTTTTTTAACTTATAAACTAGTGAATAACTATTTTGGTGTATACTTTTATAACAGCACATTGTTCCAGATTTTACATGCACGAAATGAAATATTTTTATTATATTTATTCATCTAAATATTTTTCAAAAGAGGTCTATAATATCATTTATACATCAACAATAGCCACTAAGGTTATTTTTTATTTTAAAAATATTTTCATAATGAATATATTGTTTTTATTCATTTACATTACATAATGTACAATAAATAGTACCTTGTGTGTAGAACTAATAATCCTTTAGTAAAATGTGTGTTAACTCAATATTTTAATTATTCCCATTACATCATTTCTTTTTGTACGAATAGTTATGTAAATTAACAAAAATGAATTACGTTTTTATTAAAAATTAAGAATTTTTTATAGAAATTTCTTATTATGTATGAATATTCTTTGCACTAATTTATTAGTACAACATTTATTATTATAAAAATTAATTGTAATTATTTTTACATATTTATATTTATAAATCAAAGCTAAAAAATGAATGTAATAAACTAGAGAAATTATTCAATAAGAAACATAAATGATATACCCTATTAAAATTTAAAGGATAATCATATAATAAAATAAAAATTATTGGTATGAATATAATAATATAAAAAGAAATATATTTTAAAATATTTTTGTATAATATTTCTTTATCTT